ATCAGCCCGCGGGGAAAAAGAGGGGTATGGCCAGCACAGGAGGTGGTGAGCATGTGGGAGCCGACAATGTCGGGCAACAGCCGCAGCCTGCCAGCCTCTTGAGCAGCACTCTGGGGTTGCACAGCTTGCGCAGTGCAAGTGAGTCCGAGCACTGCAACTGCTGGGCTGGCCCTTCAAGCAGCAGGAGGCAGAGGCGCTGAGGGGAGGCACACCATCTGGCCCACCAGACCCACTGCATGGCCACCTGCCCCAGTGCAGGCATAGACAGACAGTGGGGTGGAGAGGGAAGGTGTGGCACACTCTGGAGCTCTGCAGCCCATATAGTGCAGTTGAGTCAGAGTACTGCAAAGCAGAGGTGCGGGGAGAAGGCACACAATCCAGCCCGCCAGATGCACACAAAGCCACCCGCCTAATCCAGCCTGTCTGTCTTTGCTTGCCCATGGCCATGACGGGGTATGTAGTCATGTGGCATATCCAGCAAACCAAATTGCATTCTTCCCACCGCACCTTTGCCTCTGCTTGCTGCTTGGAAAACCGGAGTGGCAGTCACAGCATTCAGATTGTGTGGGATGCGCAGCCCAAGAGTGCTCCAAACAAGGGGCTGGTGGACTGTGGCTGCTACGAGACACCATTGGTCCTTGCATGCTTGCTGCTTCTTGTGCATGTAGCAAGGATGGGGTGCCCAGGAGGCGGGGGCCAGCCCCTCACCATAACCCTGATACCATGTTTCCTCGAAAATAGGCCCTAATGTATCTTTTGGAGCCAAAAGAAATATAAGACCGTCCTATTTTTCAGAGAAACATGGCAGTACATTCCATTTTAAAATGATTAATATTTATTTACCATACCATTTATCATACCAATTAACTGTCTTGGAAAAGCCAGATTTTATTCTGCACTGGCAAAATTATGTAATTATTAGTATGCACTGATCATTATTATGCTTTGGGGGGGTGAGAGGTTTGCAAACTATGAACCATATATAAATATAGAGAAAGAAGAATAGCTTAGGTAGAGTCTAGCTTTATAACCAGAATAACATTGCAGAATGTAAACAACCTTCTGAACTATAATAAATCAAAAACTATGTTGGACAAAAGCAGATTCACATTTCAGGGTGTACACGATTAAAAAAAGAAGGTAGGGTAACAGAGACCATTTAATATAGGGGTGTCAAACTCATGTTGTCATGGCAGCATCATGTGACGTATTGGGATTTGTGCCTTTTTTTTTTACTGATGGCTACTTTTCAGTTTGTGCAGCCTGAGGACATAAACAGAGTCACTGGAGGAGAAAAGTCCAATGTGTGTGCTAATCTCTTGTTGTTCCTAACTGGTGAAAGTAGACGAAGGAGGTTTAGAGATATTCATTAACCAAAACCATTAATGACTCAGCATACAAAATTGCACCAGAGTAGCAAAGTTGTGGCTTCTGTTGAAACATCTCTACTGTACTAAGGAGGTTTGACTGGCTATCCCTTGATCGCTAACGTGCTGATTCTTAGGAAGTGTTTGCAAGCCTGGTTTTGATTATCCTGGAAGATTATCTATGGTGTGAATTAAATATGAAAAGCAATTACCCTTTGAGGTCTTTCTTAACATAAAGAGAATCAAATTCGACTGTTTGGTTTCCTGGCTTTCATTATTATTAACCACAGAATCCTTTCTTGTCTTCTTGAATAGAGAAAAATTGATATATAATATTTCTTATTTTTTAAAACACTTTTAAAAACACTTTAAAAACATTGGTGATAATGCCTTCAGCCAGAAATCACAGAATTTCAGATCTATTTATTAGGATCTATTTATTTTTATCATGTGGAAAAAGTTGAATTTTTGTTTGTTTGTTTTGTGTTATGGCAGCACATACTCAAGCCTTTATATCCCCAATGCATGGATATTTTAATTAATTTGCAGCTGCAAGTTTCCAAAACATTTGAAAAGCTATAAATAGATGGTAAACAATCATGGGATGCGGTGGTCTAGGGGTTAAGATGCTGGGCTTGTCGAACAAAAGGTTGGCAGTTCGAGACCCAACTATTGCATGACAGGGTGAGTTCCCGTTCCTGCCCCAGCTCCTGCCAACTTAGCAATTTGAAAGTATGCAAAATCAAGTATATAAATAGGGGGGGGGGAGGTAACAGTGTTGGGGGGGTGGAAGGTAACACTGTTCATGCACCTCGACATATAGTGATACCAGCCATGTGACCACAGAAGCCTCTTCACACAATGCTGGCTCCCTTGGCTAGGAAATGGAGATGAGCAACCACCCACACCCCCACTCCCGAGTCAGACATGACTAGACAAGGGAAATCTTTACCTTTTACCTTTTTTAAAAAACAATCAAAATATGTTTTATCAATTTTTAATGTGCTTGGAAAAATGCAGAAAGCTCTTAAAGCATTATCTTATATTTTGCTCTCGCAAGCCGCAAAGAGTTTGTCCTTCTTATTAAGACTTTGGGAGTGGCCATAATGTAAATCTCTCACGGTCATAAGATTTCCTCTGAGGGACAGAGAGGCTTCTGATATTGAAAGAAAATCCTGCAGGCACTTCTTCCTTCACTTTCCCATATTCCACTGTGAAGGACTGCTTTTTTTATTTATTTAAAGCTATGTATGATGCAATAGCCAAAAATAATTATAAACGTTTTCATCACCTAAACAAAAAAAAATCTCAATATACACAGTATACAGTAATGTTGATAATTACATGAAGAGTAATTAACTCTAAACATGCAGAGAGCAATATAAGTCTAGATGTACAAAAGTTAGGATTCACTGGCCTTGGGGGAAGAGTGTATAAGATTTTTAATTTATATTGAGAGTGAAACAGGTGAATGTATTCTGCAATGGAAAATAGGCATGAAATACCTGTATAGTATCATAACCTACCCAGTCTGCCTGTCAATGAAATGACAACTTCTTCCCTGTTAATTTTCAGGAGAGAACTGAATGGAGGGAGTGGAACTATGCTGCTATGTTTAATCAATTATGTTCACTTTTCTGCAACAGATCTAGTAGTAATGAACATCCTTGTGACACCCAGATAACACTTCAAGAGCTGCACTGGATACCAAATAGAGTTCAAAATATTGTGAAAGTGCTTTGAAGCCTGATATGGTTCAGGATCTGTGGGATGGCTGTCTCTGACAGTGGTGGGATTAAAAAAAAATATTACTGGTTCTGTGGGCGTGGCTTGGTGGGCGTGGCGTGGCTTGGTGGGCATGGCTTGGTGGGTGTGGCAGGGAAGGATACTGTAAAATATTCATTCACATCCACAAATGAAGCAAAACAAAACAGCCATACATCACCAGCAATATTGACAATTCTTGGTTGCTTCAACAGCCAAGTGATTATTTTAATAAAATATAAAAATAAAGTAGTCCCAACTTCCAGAATGTCAGCCTTCATGTCTAAATAATTAGACAAAGACAAAAATATATTGTATCTGTATGATTGTAAATTACTATTAACCTGCGATAAATGCTTTTAGAAATGTGAAAGATAGTTGAGCTATTGGCTGAGTTCCAGCACTATGTTAAGTCATTATTAAAATATGATTTGTCCAGATGACTAATTTAACAATTCACCATTTCCAATAAATCATAAACTAGAATCAAAATATATGGTGTAAAATAAGTATATACTAAATATGACTCAGTATGACATTACAATGACTAGAAATTATTTTTTGGTGTGTTTCACAATTTTTCATGTTACTAAGCTTACAATTCTGGGTATTCTGTGGCAAAATGAGAAAAAAATATTTAAAAATCCAATGAAACACATAACAAATCATTAAGTGACTAATAATTAATAAATGGTGACTAATAAATGATAAGCCCCCATAGTCTCATTTTGGGCCAAAAGTCAGCTGAAATTAAATAATCTTCACGGCATTTCTAAATGTTAAAAAGAATCTGGGCAACCTTACTGTATGTCCAGGGGCAGTACAAGTAGTCCTCAACTTAGGACTGATTGCTTAGCAACTATTCAAACTTTTTTTTTTTTTTAATTAAATGTTTTTTAAGTTTTAGTTTAAAACTGGTACAACATCTTTCTTAATATATCAATCAATTACAGATAATACAGAAAAAAAAAACAAAGCAACTATTCAAACTTATAACCCCCCCCAAAAAAAGTACTTATGACCCAGTTCCAAATTTCTAACTGCTGTCGTCCCCCCCCCCCCTGCAATAATATGAATGCATTTTGGGAATGCATTTTGGGTTTTTTTCTGAAAACTAGCATTTACTTGTTTTTTGGCCAAAAAGGCCCCATAGGAGACATTCTGTTTTACCTCCAGAGGAGAGGCCTTCTTTTAGTTACCATTTTGGTTAGTTGGGGCAAAACCATGTTTAGGAAATTGTTTCTTCATAGATCCTTGTGATATACATTTTACAAGGCCTTATAATAAGCAGCACTTTCCTTTGAGCCTTGAAACTTACTGGCAGCTAGTACAATGGCTTTAAAATACATGTGCTGCTGTCATGGGTTTCTCTAGCAAAGAGTCTGACCATTTCATTTTACACAAGCTGCAGCTCCAAAGTTGTCTTCAAAGGCAGCCCCATGAAGAATGCATTGCAGTAGTCCAGTCACATAGTGATCAGTGCAAGGGTCATTGTTTTGAAACATCTTAGTCCAAGTAGAGCTATTTGGTGCATTAGATGCAGCTAGGCAAAAGCCCATCTGGCCGTGACTAACATTCTTGAGTGCTTATTAATGTACAACCTTAGCAAGGTTAACCTGAGCTTACGTCTTCCCATCTAATGTCTTTCAGCCTCCAGGCACTGATTCTAGTATTTTACAACATCTACAGCTTAGATCAAGGTATTGGTGTAAAGTTGACTGTCATCACTCAACATATTGATGAGACATATTCCAAATAGATAAGATGACATTTCACAGTAGTTTCACAGTGATGCTGAATAGCATGGGAGGGAAGACGAAGCTTTGCCACACCCCACTTTGTGGCAACAAGTGTTTGAGTACTCATCACCCAAAACTACAGCTGTGCTTCCTCTCCTATCTGAAACAACTCACTCAGGCAGGAATCACCATAAAACTGCCTTCCTTCCCATTCTTGCAGGCAGTTAATAGTATCAATGGCACTGACAGTTTAATAGGATCAGGGGAGTCACATTCATTCATTCCAGGTCCCAATGACAGTTATCAGCATATCTGAACCTGATTGAAAGAATCAAGATAATCTATTTCTTCTGGGATTCTCTGTAGCTGATTTCCCATCATCTTCTCAACAATCTTGCCCAAAACAAAAGGTTGGAAAAATACAATTGGATTGAGAGATGGCTTCTTCAAGAGAGGGCTAAGCCACCACCTCTTGCAGAGCACATCACATCTATCAGTAATGCACTCCACGTTTGTCTAATTACCAACTGCAGCCAGAAACCACAGATGCCTGACAATTCAGCCATCTAGATCAGTAGTAGTCAACCTGGTCCCTACCGCCCACTAGTGGGCGTTCCAGCTTTCATGGTGGGCGGTAGGGGTTTGCTGTAACTCTGCTTTATAAATTTTATAGTAAAGTTACTTCCCTACTTTATAAATCACCATTACTGTGGAACCGGTGGGCAGTTAGAAAATTTTACTACCAAAGGAGATACAAAAGTGGGCAGTAGGTATAAAAAGATGACTAACCCGGATCTAGATTCAGGATAGAGGCAAGTGGTTTAGAGCAAGAAATGTGTTCTATCATCCCTATTCTGTTTAACAGCCTATTCAGTAACTATCACCATATTTTTCTCTCCCAACAGAATACCAATATGAGATCCCACTGTAACAACTTTAGCATCCAACATTGATTAGTCATCCCCCAATCTCTTTATGGCTCTGACAGTTCACATGATTGCTCTGTATCAGGAACCTCTGTAGGCCAAGCCTAGCTCTATACGCAGCTCACAGCAATCCAAGAAAAGTCAGAAACACAATCAAATAAATATTTTCATATTATAAATGCCTCCCTTGAAATGTATAAATACTTCATTAACCTTTCAACCCCACCACAATCTTAGGATTCTGAGAGTACCTTGTATTTCCCCAGTCAAGACTGAGTCCAAATCTTACTTGAGACCTCTTCTCTCATTTATAATTCTTTTGATATACTTTGTCCATCCTAAAGATCTTTTCAGTTCCTCCAATACACTTTCAACAATTTTATCTAAAACCATCTCCACTTTCCTTCACTTACATCCCTGCCAGGCAAATCTCAGCTAAACTTCCCTTAAAACAAATTATACTGGCTAAAAACTAATTCTCTATAGGCTAGGTAAAAAAAAATGGGAAAGAAAAATCTTTACACAAAAACTCTATACACAATGTGAAAGAAAACTAAACATAAAAAGGATGAAATTTCTGAAGTCAAAATAAACACTCAAAATAACTATACATGTAACCTTAATATAAAAACAGTTGAAAAAGGTGAATCTACAATACTTGCTAAATGGAAAGTCCTGCTAATTTATGAACAGCAGCAAGACAAAGCGACAAATAGAGCTTCTCAAGTCAAGTATGCCAATCATTTACAACCCCCGAGTTTCTACTTATGCTGTATTCTGAACCAGCAAGCTAATTTATGAATATCAGCAAGCCATCACGACAAATACATTTCAAATCCTTTTTTTTAAATCCACATAATACAATTTCTAAAATCAATGTCAATCACCTCCAACACCTATTGTTTTCCAATTGAAACAGCCTTCATAGGCATCAGTTTATTCATAAGGTAGCCCAGTATAGCTCATGAGAATTCAATAATTTTAACACAGTATCATGTACTGAATAGATGCAAAAAATAATCCTGCACATATATCTGTCAAGATGAATTCAAGTTTTGCAAAATGACTTCCATCTAAAAATAAAATCATGGGAAGAATACTTATTTTATGACAGAAAGAATGACATGACACAGACAATGTATTACTCACTCAACTTTTTTAGACTAGTACCATAAAAAAATCAAGCCTTGTCTCCATCACTAGGAAAACCAAGAACTTTTAATTGCAGCACCACAAGGAAGTTGGTTGGAGTGCCACAAGGAAATCAGAAAGCAAAACAGTTTCAGATAGTCAGCTCTATCTATCAGCAGAATCAGTAGAGGAAACAGTAACATTTTTGCTTTATTCAGAAATTGAAATGACTGAACAGTTATAAATATGAAGACAACATGCCTTGTAAATTATTATTTTCCAGGAAAATAACTGCTTCCCTTTCTGCAATAGAGAAGCTACAAAATTGTTAAATCTCTTTGTTTTTTTCTTAAACAAGCTACTGCTTGTATTTCATTATGTTTTTTCCTCAATGTTTTCATTGTTCTGCTGTCATTGAGTTTTGTTGTAATCCCCTCTCATATCTTCAGCAAGCATCCTGCACTATATCAGACTGGCCTTTTATTATTTAATAGCTTCTACCTTTAATTGCTCTAAACCTCTTTAAAAGGGACAATCCACATGTTGGAAGACCCTGCCTTCTGCCAAGGTCCCTGAAACACTTCATTCAACTCAATCATAGGCAACAGGTTCCATTACTAAGTTATTTGGCCAGGTATAGCTGACATTTAGTCCACAAGTCACTTCAACAGCCAGAAACCTGGAAGCAATATAAACAACCACACAGGTGAAACCTGTTGCGTGTGTCGGAGAACACAAAGGAAGTTTCGAATGAACGGACACGCACACCTGAGGTGCTAAGATTAAAAACAAAACAAAACAAAAGGCATCCCAAACAGAAGTGCCAGAACCCACGCTCTCTTATACATTAACAAAAGCAGTATTTCTTTCACTTCGGTCACACAGGGACCTTCCCCCCCCCTCCCCCGTGACGTGGAGACAATTGAACGAAAGCCAGATGTCTGGAAACCGAACAAACGGTGGCAACAAATCGTCCTTTTTTGTTTTGTTTTTTTAGTTCCTACGACTTTCGGCTTTAGTCCCGGGTGAAAACGAAACGCCTCGAAAGTGAGAAATACTCACTCAATGAAATAGCTGGCTCCCTCTTCCGAGAATCCCTCCTCCCAGCCACGGGGCAGATCTACAAGAAAAAAGAAAGGAGAAAGACCGGGGAAGGGGGGGGGGGGAAGAGCCGGGAAAGAAAGTGGCCAAGAGGAGGGAAGTGAGATGTTTGTGCCCTGGAGACAGGCGAGCATAATTCCCAGCCACACAAAGGTAGTTATCCTCCCCCGCACTCCTTCCCCAGAGGGAAAAGGGGAGAGAAAGGCAAACACAAACACCCAGCGTGGGGCGCGCCAGGGGGAGAAACACGCGTGGGGGGGAGGGTCCCCTCCTCCACCCACCCCCACCCCCACCCCCGAAGCGTCTCCTCGCCGCCTCTTTCTCCGTGAGGAGCCCGGGCATAGGGCACCCACCTGAGCGGATCATGTGGCCTGAGTTGACGGGCTCCCCGGTGCGAGGATGCAGCCAAGTAGTTGCGCGGGTCAGGTCGCTAAAGAGGGAGAAGCGGCAAACATGCACCTGTTAGTCCAGCCCGCGGAAAGAGAAGTCGGCGGGGAAGGAAAGCGGGGACCGGGGGGGGGGAGAAAAAGGGAAAGGGACGCGCTGAAGAGACAACCCCGCCTCCGCCCCTTGGGGTTTTTTTTCTTTTCTTTTCCCGCCCGGTGTCTTACTCGACGAAGAAGACCCGGCCGTCCCTGCAGACGCCATAGGACCAGTGCTCAGGTAGAGTGTCCCGCCCCACCGCCTTGGCCGCCGCCATGTTCGCCGCGCGCCCTGCCCGCCGGAGAAAGGGGGACGTCTGCGGGGGAACGGGAGGGCAGGCCAGGCCAGGCGGGCTACCCGGTGCCCCTGGGCCGCTCAGCAGCGCCACCGGGCAGCGGTTAGCAGGAGGCGCAAGCACACACACACACACACACGCCCCGAAAATCCGCGCGACGTGTTTGGCCGCCCTCTGCCCTTGGGCGTGTGTGTGGGAGGAGGGGAGGACAAGCAGCTTTCCCCGGACGGACGGTTCATTGCCCGTGTTGCAAGGCAGGCAGGCAGGCAAGTCGGCAGCTGCTGCAGGCGCAGGGCGTTCGGTCTCCCGTAGCGATCCGGGCAACAGGTTCTACGCCCCTCCCCCTTTGTTGTGTTCCTTCATCTTCAAAGTTTTGAGGCTCCGGTGTGAAGTCGGGGCTCCGTATAACTCAGCGTGGGGGGGGAAAAGTTTCCTTTCCCGGAGAACTTTTCTAAGAAACCAAACGCTTAAAAGCCCCGGGGTTTCATGGTTGTCGTCCCTTTCGGCTTGGAGTCTCTACCTCAGCTGTCTTTTTACTTTCTACCTACCGGGCAGCAACACTAAATTGTGTGTGAAAGTATGCCGGCTCGAAATTCCACACAAGTCGCATTGTTTAAAAGAAAGGAAAGATTCATACTTGCCGTGCTTCGAATAACAAAGCCAGCCCCAGGGCTCTCTCGGTTTGCTGAACCATATCTTACATGGGCTTTAGATTTTATATCATGCAAAGCCAGGTAACTGCCTAAATTGGATAATCAAAACAGATACGTTTTGAGAGAAGAAAGCCTATATTCCTTTTCTTGAGTCGCTTCTTCCTCTGCTGTAAAACACTTGACCATAAGAGTCAGCTTATTTGAGCCAAACGTGACTGTATCTTACATAAAGATTTCTGTTTTAACTTCACCTGATCTTTCCAAGAGGGAAATATGGCCCTAAATTTTATACTGTAAACCTGCTGAGCATGCAAAATTTTAAAATTTGAAATTCAGACTCAGAATAATATATGCCCTCATTGCCTGCGTGGACCAAGTGGCAAAAGTTACGAAGTACTGTAGGTTTTTCTGGCCCTTCAAATATTTCAGTGGACTTCTGTTCCAACCTGTCAAGCATGCATTCCTAACAGAGACAACAAGACTTGTTTGCTTAATATAAGTTGACCCAGATCTACACAAACCTCTCTCTGGACAGTGACTTGTTCTTTCTCACTATAAATTATCTTTCTTTTGCTGCTTCTGTTCTTGATGAAAATGTATAAATAAAAATATAAGGGGAAAACCCCAAAATTAGATGGGGAGAAATTACATTAAGAATATAACTTTGTTTCTTTCTTTCTTAAAATATAGGAAAGTTGAATTATCATCTTGCCTGCAGACTTGAAGTACTATACAAATTACCAGAAACATGAGACAAAGAATACATTTTATCAGATAGAATTTTGATGTATATCATAGCCTTTAAGATATGCTTAGCATACATTCATTAGTAATTAAGAATGTTACTTTAGAATATGACTCAAGAAGACTCTTCACTTCCTGTGTTATCTTTGTTCCAAAAAGGCAATTTAAAATTTAAATTGCTTAATGTTTAAAAAGAGAAGAAAGACAATTGATAAAATTAGAGTACAAGCAACATGCAATATCCCATAGATTTCTTATGATTGGCAATTCAGTAATTTTTGCAACGAATATATTCCTTTAGAAGATAAACTCTTTATCCACCACGTATAGATTATTTATTTATTTATTTATTTATTTATTTATTTATTTATTTATTTATTTATTTATTTATTTATTT